TCTGGGTCATCAGGAAGCCATATTTGCATCAGGCAGGGCGGTGGTAAACCCTGGCAGCCAGATTCTAAGGGCCCCCTCTGCCCCAGAGCCAACTGCAATTACATTCTTGGCTGGCTCTGCATTTGAAAGAATTATCCTCTTCCTTGCCTGCTCCTCCCCCATTAGCCACTCCATCTTCCAGGTCTGCTTCACCCAGACCCAGCCTGCCTTCCGGATCAATCCAGGAGCCAGGGTCTGCAGGCATTGTGTGTGTAGAGCAGGGTAGACTGGGGGAGGGGTATACCAGAGCCCCTGTGCCAGAGGCCCCTGGGCACAGGCAGTGGGACCACCCCTGGGCCTTCCTCAGGGCACTTTACCACCCGGGAAAGTCAATGAAATCCAATGCAGCTAGGATGGGACAGGTCAGCAGAGGGGGAGCCCCACCCTGGCAGCACCCCACCCTCAGGAAGGTCCAGGCAGGACCACCGGATGCCCCCAGGGACACAGAGCAGATGACATAGACCGACAGTTGTGCTGCCCAGGACAGACAGAAAGGGGACCGGGCAGGACACGCACAGCCAGGACATGTGAGGGTCCATGTGCAACCCCCCTTCGCCCCCCAGGCACATGCAGCGCTGGCTGAGCTATCCGGCATGATGAGGAGCCCTGGTGGCAGAGTGCTGCTAACTGCAAGGTCGGCAGTTCAAAGCTGCCAGCTGACTCCAGAGAGAGAGACGGGCTTTCTCCTCCCCTAGAGAGTCGCAGTCTCAGAAACCCACAGGGCCAGTTCCACCCTGTCCCACACGGTCGCTGTAGCCTGCGACTCCACGGCTGTGAATTGAGTGTTCGAACTCACTCGGCACGTTTCTCACACACTCACAGGTGTACACACACCTCACAAAGACACACATGTGCACACACACTCAGGAGCTGGCACAAAGGACACACATGCATCATGGGCACCCCAGCCTTCCTTCCTCCCGCCCCCCACCAATGGTGAGCGTTCACTCTGCTTCGAGTGCAGCCTGGCCCTCCTTGGCCAGCCAGGGTGTTGGAGCCAGACCTCACTGTGAGTCCTGTGGGTCAGGCCAAGCACCCCGGGTTTATCTTGCTATGAAGATAGAAGCCATGGCAGAAACTCACTCATTGACCCTCCCTCACACCCCAGGTGTCTGACAGGTGTGACTACGTCTTCGTCAACGGCAAGGAAATGAAGGGCAAGGTGACTGTCCCCTTGAGCTTCTCCTACCAGCACCTGCAGGGCACGCTGGAGATGACCGTGTGGGTGCCCCAGCTGCCCCTGCACATAGAGGTCTCGGACACCGAGCTCAACCAGATCAAGGGCTGGAGGGTGCCCATCGTGGCCAACAAGAGGTGGGTGCACTGCCGGCCCAGACCCCCACAGGAGCCCCGACAGACCTGGGCTGGCAGGGGAGCTGTGAGCACCCCACTTGCTCTCTGTGCTCCCTCAAGGGTGCTGGATCCAGCCGGCCCCATGAGCTCTGTCTGCCCAGGGCCTCCCACTGTCCCCACCGTGTCCCTGCCCCTCTGTGGACGTGCCTCTGGGGCTGTGTAAGCCCCACAGGTAACGTGGTTAAAGCCCCTGGAAGATGTGGCAGCTGCATCTGTAAACAGCCCTCCCTCGGGGAGGCGCCCGTGCCCCCACAGGGTCCACATGGGTCGGAACTGACCCCGCGGCCAGGGGCTGGGTTGGCTTGATCTCACCTTTATCAGAAGAGCCCTGGTGGCACCGTGGTTAAGTGCTCAGCTGCTCTCCCAAGGCCAGCGGGCAGAGGACGTTGGGGCCGCCTGTCCCATAAAGGTCACATCATGTGAGTCCCAGGGGCAGCTGCCCTCTGTCCTACAGGGTCGCTGTGAGAGGGAGTGGAGCCCACGACAGAGGGCCGTGGTTTGTGTTTGCCTGTGGTCTTAAAAAAACAAACAAGCCAAAGAAAACCCCAAACTCACTGCCACGTGTCACGCCGACTCCTCGGAGGTCTGAGAGACCTGGGTTTCTGAGACATGGACTGTTTGCTGGCATAGAAAGCCGGGCTTGGCTCCCACGGAAAGGCTGGTGGTTTTGAACTGCTAACCTTGAGGGCCCCAGCCCAAGGCGTGACCACTGTGCAACCACGGCTCGTCATGACTCAAACCAGATGCCGAACGAACCCCACCCGCTGCTGCCCACTTGGCTCTGGCTCTGTGTGGCCTGTAGGACCGAGGGTACTGACCAAAGGTTACTTCCGTGGAAACTGACAGCCCCGGAAAACCTCTGAGGCCAGCAGTTCTACTCTGTCATGCGGGGTCACTATGAGCCAGAACCCCCCAGCTGTCAGTCAGAACCCCTTAAATGTTGACAGGCTGCGGGGTGTCACCAGCCACTCCTGTTGCAGTGAGGTGCCCAGAGTGGGCAGTGGGCACCGCCCAGTCATGCACCAGCCTCACAGTCCTTGGTCAGGGTCAGGCTGCTATCCCACCACTGTGTGTCTGGAGGCTGTCTGTCCCTGCTCCCGGCTCTACATCTGACGGTGCTGTGTTGTGGCCTGGCTGGCTTTAGGAGTGGATAGCCAGGCCTCTCTGGAGGTCCTGCTGAAACCTGACCGGCATCAGGGCAGCGTGCCCAGCGGTGGCTGCTCTTCCTGAGTGCCACCGTCCTGCTGTTTGTCTGAGCCTGTGCTGCGGGGACCCCTGGACGGTGGGGGAGGGGAGCTCCAACCTCCCCCCCCACCCCCGTCAGACACCAGCCGGACTAACGTGCCTCTTCCACAGGCCGGCCCGGGACAGCGAGGACGAGGACGAGGAGGGGCGCCGGGGCCGGGGCTGCGCTCTGCAGTACCAGCATGCCACCGTGCGTGTCCTCACCCAGTTTGTGGCCGAGCCGGCCGAGCCTGGGGCCCACCTGGCCCACCTGCTGGGCTCCGACTGGCAGCTGGACGTCACGGAGCTGGTGCACGACTTCCTGCAAGTGGAGGACCCCCGCGTGGCCCGGCTGCAGGGCGGGCAGGTGCTCGTTGGTCAGGAGCTTGGCATGACCACCATCCAGGTATGGCCCTGAGCCCCGGCTCCCCACCCCAGGGGGGAGGTAGACCCAGCGAGAGGGAAGACCCAGTAAGTACCCCCCCCTATCCACTGAGGACCCAGTGGGGGCTCCTGACTCCCTGAGTGTAAATACAGCCCTCCTGTTGGTCGCCTGGTCCGACCCAGCTCATAGTCCCTGTATACACGTCCCTTCCTGTTGTGGACGGGTGGTGTGGGCTCCCTGCACAGTGCAGCACAGGAGGGTGGCCTGCCCCTGTGCCCCGCCCCTGTGTCTGTCCACCTCCCACCCATGTCCTCCGTAGGTGGCCCCTGGGCTCACAGCCGCCTGCCCTGTCTTGTGCTCTGGCCTCAGATCCTGTCGCCGCTGTCGGACGCCATCCTGGCCGAGAAGACGGTCATGGTGCTGGATGAAAAGGTGACCATCTCGGACCTCGGCGTCCAGCTGGTGACGGGGCTGTCACTGTCCCTGCAGCTCAGCCCAGGCAGCAACAGGGCCATCTTCGCCACGGCGGCTGCCCAGGAGCTGCTGCAGAGGCCCAAGCAGGTAGGCGGGGCTCAGAGCGTGTCAGACGGAGGAGTTCCCGGGGTCTGCTTTGAGATGGAGGTCCTACTTAGCCGCGAGGCCCAGAAGGTCACTCATGTGGCCGGAAACGGGGCCCACATCCGCCATGGCCGCCCATTCCTGGACTTTCACACAGCGAGGATGAGCATGTACTGTGTGCACATGGGCAGTCTGTGCTATGCATGCCATGTGTATGTGAGTATATGCATATTGTGTGCATGATGTATGTGGGTGTGATACGTACATGGGTATGGTAAACATGTGTGTGCATTGCATTGTGTGTATGTTGTATGTGCATATACGTATAGTGCACGTGTGTGGTATGTACATGTGCAAGTGTTATGTGTAAGTATGCACATATGCACCTGTTTTGTGTGTGTTTGTGTATGTATGTGTGGTGTGTATTGTATATATGTGTTTTGTGTGTATATTAAGTGTCTAGACTGTGTATATGTATGTATGTGTGGGTTGCATGTGTATGTATTTGTGTCTTTGCATGTGTGTATGTGTGGTATGTGTATATATAAGCATTGTGTCTGAGTGTGTATGTGTATATATGGTGTGTATTGTGTATATGTATATGTGTGTATATTAAGTGTCTATGTGTATGTATGTGTGCATTGTATGTGTATGTTTATGTATTTGTATGTATATCTGTGTCAGTGTGTTGTATAGGCATGTGTGGTATGTATTATTTGTAAGTGTTCTGAATGAGTATGTATATATGCACGTGTGTGGTATATGTATGTATGTATATGTGGGGGTGTGTTGTGTACCTATATCACGTGTGTATATGAAATGTCCATATTGTGGGTGTATGTATGTGTGTGTGGTATATTTGTGCTTACGTGTCTATGTGCCAGTGTGTATGCATGTATGTGTGTCCAATATAGCTGTGCGTGTGCGTGCATGCATGCACTATGTGGACATGTGGATTGCATCTGTGTGGTTGCGTATGTTGCTGACACCATGGTTTCATAACAACTAGAGTGTCGTGTAGGGACTCGCAGGTGCCCCACGCCCTGCCCCTCGCGGGGTGGTCGCTCAGTCCTTCCAGAAAGACAAGATACAGGGAGAAGCTTGTCCTCACTTGGAGCTGATGGGAGGCTTGGCCCACATGGGAGGTTTTTCTGGAAGTTTCTTTCCTCAGGCTATGCCTGCCCTGCATGGTTCCCACTCAGCAGGCTGTGGTCGTGTACGGAGCAGGATTGGAAGCGGGCCCTGAGCCTGCCCGTCCCCAGAACGTTCCCGCTCCCTGGCGCGCCTAGTGCTCAGACTCTGGGCTAGCAAACACCTGCAGAGGACAGTGACCCTGAGAACCCCCACAGGCTGACCTCCTCCTTACAAGGGAGAGGCCAGCCAGCTGCAGGCTATGGAGCGCAGAGGAGCCGCTCCTCTGCCTCTTGGTTCGGGCCGAAGAGTGGGTCATCTGGGGCTCGGAGCTGGGC